CCCCAAAACCCCAAAACCCCAAAACCCCAAAACCCCTTTTTATATACTCATAGTTGAACTTCTTAATAACTCTCATTTTTAGAAGCCTTTAATATCCTATATGGCATTTTGATGTATGAAATCCTCCTGAAATGATCATCAAAAATGTCAAAGTTATAATCTTCTAATTCTGTGAGATATGATTCAGCCTCAACTCCAAAAAGGAGGGCCCTATGTGCATGTTTAGGCAATTTGTCTTTGAAAGTCCTCGATACTTCTAGGTGCTTCTTTGCATGGGCTGCTATCTCAAGTACTACATCATAGAATTGATCTGCAACTAGCCCTTCAACTCTGGGATTGTATATCCTGTCAAAGAAGAGATTATGCTTTAGCAAAATATCAGAAGGGAGATAGGATCTGTGGTTGATCAAAAAGTACTGCATTTTCTTTAAGACATCAATGATTCCCATACATCTTCCCATGTGAGAAGCAGCTTTATAGGCATTTTTGTCATTTATCCCAAGAATATGCAAGAAAAGATAGAAGGTAAGACTCCTTGTATTTTCTGCATAATTAGTTAAATCATTCATCGACTGCATATCGCTTCTTTCAAGGTCAAAAAGCTGATAGCTGATCATTCTATGGAGAAGGTCGAAGTTAGCATTTGTATTTTTGTACACCTCTGACAAGGCAATACCTATAGGTTCTTGAATTTTTTTATTATTTTCTATGTCGTTTAAAGTCTCGCTCCACCACAAAAGTCTAGTTTTGCAGACCATCATCTGCCTAGATGCTTCTCTAGACTTCAAAATTTCTAAAAAGAATGCATGAATAGCATAGAAATATTTCTGTCTTGAGACAGGGAAATGTTTGCCCACTGAATGTGTGTAGAAATCATGCTTTCTGACTATGTCATAGCAATATTTATGAGCTACTTCTGGGTCAAGAATACTTTTTCCTTTGTATTCTTCAAATTTCTCTTTTGTTGGCTTATACCCGCCATCTCTATACCTATCATCCATATCTGGTTTTTCTGGGACTTGATCTCTAGTCTTTGTTGTTGTAGAGAAAGATTTAAACTGCGGTATCAAAGTCTGCTTGAAAATCCAGCAATTGGGTGGTCTCTTGCTGCATGCATTATTATTGAATGATCTTGTGGAGTACTCTCTGGCATTTTGAGTAGGAATTAAGTAATTTTGAGATGTATATACTCCAAGCCACTTTGCTGTACTCCAGGTCTTTGAAGGGCCAGTTTGAAGAGCTTTCATTTTAGTTAAAATTATTATCAGCCATAAATTTTGAGAAAGGGGTTTTGGGGTTTTGGGGTTTTGGGGTTTTGGGG